AATGCCATCCAGAGTAAGAATCTGGTTAGATACCATATTTCTAAGTCAGAAAGACATCTACTGTGATGAACTCTACCCCCCACTGCTGTGTAATCCATCCATCCGCTTCCGCTCATCCTTTTCAGGGCAGGGTAAACAGGCGACCTGTCCAGGGTACACCCTGGACAGGTCGCCTGTTGCAGGGCTAACACACAGGGACAGACAACTATTCGCACTCACATTCACTCCTGCATACAATTTAGATTTTTCAATTAACCCTATCCGCAAGTGCACGTCTTTGGGAGGAAGCTGGAGTACCCGGGTAGAACCCGGGCAAAAATGGGAGAACATGCAAACTCAACACAGAAACACAGCCTGATGGTGGAATTGAATTCAGGACCTTCTTGCCGTGAGGCAACAGTGCTAACCACCGTGTCACCGTGCTGCCCGTTCCCTGCCCAGTGTAATCAATTACCCACTACAGTTCGCTTACCGTCCAAATCGTTCCACAGACGATGCCATCTCTCATCTCTTCCACACATCACTCACTCACTTGGACACTAGAAGGTGGTCACACTTGCAGAGGATACATGAATCAAGTCTATTTAATTATCATTCGGCACCTGGCTGCTACTTTCCCTTTTAATTCCTAAAGCACTGACTTTGGAATACATTTTTCACAGAACTTTGGTCCTGAACTACTTGAATGCTAACTTCATGTTCTCCTTCTTCATTGAAAATGATTGATGTGTGTGACTGTATTACTAGTACAGTCACACACATCAATGTGACTGTGATGTCTTGATTTTTCAAGGCCAATTAACTCTTTGCTATCTCGTTTAAAACAAAACTGTTGCAAAAATAGAGTTTTGTCCCAGGTTATTTCAGAATAAAAGTCGGTAAACAATTTGCATTTATAAACTCAAACATGTGCGATAAAGCAGCAACACTATGCTTCATTTTACCTGTTGTGTATCCAAAGTCATCTCAATGAACTCCCATATTCATGGTCTGTCAAACAGCGCCATCTTCTGGAAAACATAGTTGTTACTGTTCAGCTACCACGAACAGAAAACACACACACAGAAGCAAAGCAGCTCTTTCAGACTTTCTCTTTCATATATACATACAAAAATTAAGCAAATGTGATTCAACTCAATTTTATTTTATTTATAGAGCACCAAATCACAACAGCAGTCGCCTCAAGGTGCTTTATATTGTACAGATGACCCTGCAATAATACATACAGAAAAAAACCCAAGAATCATATGACCCCCTATGAGCAGCACTTTGGCGACAGTG